ATCTATCTATCTATCTATCTATCTATCTATCTATCTATCTATCTATCTTCTATCATCTATTCTCTATCATTATGTCTTTATTTATCCATCATCTTTGTATCTCTGTATCTCTGTATCTGTCCATCCATCCATCCATCCATCTGACATCATGCAGCCTTACACAGTTGGGCCAGGCCATTGGTCTCTCTTCATGTGCAGTACCGCTTCAGCTGCCTTTAGCTTGGCAACAGTTGTGGGAATCAGGCACCATTAATAGGTTTGCCGATAAACAAAACATAACCCCCAAAACAGTGAGCTCAGAAAAACTTTAATTAGAGAGAAACGAGGGCAGGGGTGGGGAGAGAAAGAGAGAGAAAGAGACTGCATTGAATCAGAGCAAAAAGCGAACTGACTGCAGAAACAATCAGGAAAAAAAGCACACCAAACACAGGGCAGAGGTACACAACGGGGGAGAGAGAGAGAGAGAGAGAGAGAGAGAGGAGCAGGAGGAGGAGGAAGAAGAAGAAGAGGAGGAGGAGGAGACAGGGTGGGACGAGGGTGAACCGCAGCAGTCAGCTAAACTTGGGCGATCCGGGCCGATCTCCGGCGCTGCCTCTTTAAATCGCAGGCGAAAGCGCCGGTGCCGAGCTCCAACGAGGAACTCCGCGAGCTTCAAGTGGCTGCGGGCAGACCCAATAAGAGCTTTTCAGCACCTCCCCTTGGAAACATAGAAAGAAAGTCTGATTACAAACCTTTGGCTCCGTCGGAGAGGGAGAGAGAGAGAGAGAGAGAGAGAGAGAGGAAAAAAATTGGCACACGACAGCCCTGTATATAAAGCCTTAACAAGCTCAGCGCCTTTTGGAGAATCCAGGTGCTGGGCGCGCGGGGGGGGGGGGGGGGAACCGGGGGGGGGTGGGGGGGGAGGCGGCGGTGGGGGAGAAGGGGAAGGAGAAGGAGGAAGAGAAGGAGGAGAAGAAGAAGAAGAAGATGCTTCTTTAAAAGCCGGCCAAGGAACCGGAGGGCGGAACGGGCGGCAGAGCTACCCGGGGACTCTGCCTTCCGCCGGGCGGATGCGCCAGTGACCTCGTCGCCCAGGCGAGCCAGCTCCCCCTCCGGGCCCAGGCGAGCCATGCCGCCTCTCTTGCGGGGGTCCTTCTGGCTGTGCCTGGCCCTGCTGCCCGGCCTGGGCGCGCCGATGCCGACGGAGATCGTGACTCCCATCCGCCTGGATCCGGATCTCAACGGGCGGCAGTACTTCCAGCGGGCTGGCGAGGAGCCCCCTCAGCAAGGGGCCATCTTCCAGATCACCGCCTTCCAGGAGGATTTCTACTTGAACCTGAGCCCCGACGCCCAGTTCCTGGCGCCCGCCTTCGCCACCCGCTACCTGGGCGCTCCGCGGAGGGCTGGGCACCGGGACTTGCGCCGCTGCTTCTACTCCGGCGACGTCAACTCGGATCGGGACTCCTTCGCCGCCCTGAGCCTCTGCGGAGGGCTGACCGGCGCCTTCGGCTACCGCGGGGCCGAGTATCTCATCAGCCCGGTCCGGAACGCCAGCAGCACCGAGGGCGGCGGCGGCGAGGCGCTGCGCAACAACCAAGGGGCGCACCTGTTGCAGCGGCGGAGCGCGCCTCGCCACTCCGCGGCTACTTCTCGCTGCGGGGTGGATTCCGCCTCCCACCCGGCTTTGGTGCAAGCCCTGGAGAAGTACAAGGGCTCCGGGTCCAGCGGGGCCAAGCCGCCGGGCCAGAACGAGACGGCCCGGGGGACGATGCCCGCGGGGTCCAGGAAAAGCGGCCGCGCCAAGCGCTTCGTCTCCATTCCCAGGTACGTGGAGACGCTGGTGGTGGCCGACGAGTCCATGGTCAAGTTCCACGGCGATGACCTCCAACACTACCTGCTGACCCTGATGGCCACGGCCGCCCGGCTCTACCGGCACCCCAGCATCCAGAACCCCATCAACCTGGCCGTGGTCCAGTTCATGGTCATCGGGCAGGACGACAAGGGGCCCAAGGTGACCAGCAACGCGGCGCTGACCTTGCGCAACTTCTGCGTCTGGCAGAAGAAGTGGAACAAGGGCAGCGACAAGCACCCCGAGTACTGGGACACCGCCATCCTCTTCACCAAACAGGTGTGTGTGTGTGTGAGTGTGAGTGTGAGTGGGGACTCCAGCGGGCCGGAGGGATGGGACGGCCGGAGGAAAGACGGGGAAGGCGGCTCTGCTCCCTGTGCTCTTGGAGCGCGGCTCCCGCTTCCTCGCAAGCTAGGCGCCCATCTCTCTCTCCCTCCCCCTCTGGGTGCTTCTGCCTGTCCCCTCCCGCGAGGGCTGCGTGCCTTTGCAAGCGGGAAGGGGAAGGAACATGGGACGGGAGGAGGAGAAGATCCTTTCACCCCTCAACGCTTCCAGAAGCACTGAGCTCTCCCGTGTTGGAGCGACCGTCTTCGCAGCGGGACCAGGGAAGGAGGAGGAGGAGGAGCAGTAAGAATCCAGATGTGGTGCAAATGGTGCAAACTTCTGCAGGGATGGTGTGTGATGGGATCCTCCTTGTTCTGGGTTTCTTTCCGGGCCTTTTTCTTAGGCAGCAAACTGGATCTCCGAGGCATCTCCCTGGAGCAAGGCACAGCATGTCTGTCTGTAGAAATTCTCAGTCATCCAGGTCGTGGTTGTCCCAAAGGGGCATTTTTTCAAGAGGCAACTGGAGTTTCTGGTTTTTCTTTGAAGATGTTTCGCTTCTCATCCAAGAAGCTTCTTCAGCTTTCTCTTCTCATCCTGGAAGCTTCTTCAGCCCTGAAGAAGCTTCTTGGATGAGAAGCGAAACATCTTCAAGTCCAGTTGCCTCTTAGAAAAAGCATCTTTGGGATAAGGCACAGTATGTATCAGCTTCCAAATAAGTGAGTGGTCTGAGGGTGGGAAAAGGCTGGTTCTACATGCTGCTGAAGACCCTTTTCAAAATGTGCCCATTGAGAGCATCACCTGCTATTGTGACAGGGTAAAGCTTGCCTGCTTGATAGGGGAGTGTTGATACAAATTGCTTGTATGGACACATTTGTAAGGAGAGGCCAGGTAAAAGTCAGCCTGGTTGACTTCATGGATATATCCATCCTTGTTAGCAGCATGGAAGTGGTTTGGGGCTTTGCTTTCTTCTCAGGTATTGACTTCCCAGTTGAATCTACCTTTCTGGGCTTTCCTTGTGGTCTCCCATCCCGCAGCTCAATGGATCTGGCTGGAACGCCTGCCAGGCAAGGCCAACTTAGTGCTGTCACTTAGAGCAGTGATCCCCGACCTTTTTGACGCCGCGGCCCGGTACCGGCATCAGCTGGGCGCCGCGGCCCGGTACCGGCATCAACTGGGCGCCGCCATCTTTTTTTGACGAAAAGTGCTTCCGGTGACCTCACCGGAAGCACTTTTTCGTCAAAAAAGATGGCGGCGCCAGCACTTCCGGTGAGCTTTTTCGGGTAGAAATGGCTTTCTACCCGGAAAAGCTCACCGGAAGCACTTTTTTACCAAAAAAAGATGGCGGCACCCAGCAACCAGCGGCCCGGTAAGACTTGTTCCGCAGACCGGTACCGGTCCGCGGACCGGCGGTTGGGGACCCCTGACTTAGAGGGAATGAGCTGTATGGGCCAATGGCACTCAGAACAAGTTGTCCAACCTTGATAACTTAAGACGGTGGATTTCAATCCCCAGAATTCTGGGAGTTGAAGTCCACAGGTCTTAAAGTTGCCAAGGTTACACAGCCTTGTTCTAGAACATCTTGCATTGTTGGGAGAAGGCAACAAGTGACTTATGGAGATTCTCCATTCTCCAGGTCATGATTGTCCCAAAGGTGCTTTTTCAAGGGGCAACTGGACTTTTTCTTTGAAGATGTTTCACTTCTCGTCCAAGAAGTTTCTTCAGCTCTGAAGAACCTTCGTGGATGAGAAGCAAAATGTCTTCTAAGAAAAAACAGAAAGTCCAGTTGCCTCTTGAAAAAAGCATCTTTGGGATGGTTAGTTTCTGGAAGGATCATTTCAGGACTCGGGGTGGTGGTGGTGGGATCTTTGACAGCTCACCTCCTGCAAAACTTACATTTGTGATTCTCTGCAGCCATTGGCTGTCAATCTGACACACCTGAAATTCCTTTTGAACCTAGTCTTGGGGTGGAACATTTGTGGCACCGTTTATAATGGTCCCTAGGAGAAAGACAGAATTGAAGAGGTTGCCTTGTTGACCAAGAGCTACAACAATTGGTGAGAGGATGTTGGAATCTTCTCTTCTTTCCTCCCGCTGCTAGATTTCCAGTCTAGTACCTCCATGGATAAACTAGAGATATCTACCCTCTCCTGGTCTGGACAGATCCATCTGTAAATGCAATAGAAGGTTTCTATTGTCTTTCACTTAGAGGAGGGACAAACAAAAGGGGTGGGAAGAGTGAAATGTACACCAGGTGAAATGTACACAAGACGTAAATCAGTGTGGATTGGAAGACTTTCTTTCTTTCTTTCTTTTCTTTCCTCCTTCTCCTTCTCCTTCTCCTTCTCCTTCTCCTTCTCCTTCTCCTCCTTCTCCTTCTCCTTCTCCTTCTCCTTCTCCTTCTCCTTCTCCT